TCGCGGCAAAGACGATCCCTTATAACGAGGTACACAATAGACGGGACTCCAGATACAGGACAGAAGCACCAGGTGTTGCTATCCCGGTTGTTGTATCCATCCGTTTCCCAATCAAATCTCATCGAACACCAGTTAGGTGTCGTAACTTCATTACGTGTTGTTGCTTTCTGTGGGTTGCTGATACAGTTGTACTCCAAAGGTGCCCAAAGTTGAGTACACCGAACACCAGTTAGGTGACATGGGTTCAAAAACTTGCTGTTGCGTTCTGGATTGTTGATGTCTTCGTGACCAAAAGCGTCTTCATATGGGTCCAGCGGGATTGAACACCAGGTAGGTACCAAAGGTTCAATGCGTGCTGTTGCTTGTTGTTGATGCATTCCATCATGATGCATTCCATTATGATGCATTCCATCATGATGCGTTCCATCATGATGCGTTCCATCATGATGCGTTCCATCATGATGCGTTCCATCATGATGCGTTCCGTCATGATGCGTTATATTATGATGCGGTCCATTATATCGATCAGTTCTTGTGGTAGTCATCGTGCATCTGCAGCACTGAGTCAAGTGAAGTGATGTGACTTTTGAGTCGACTCAGAAGTCACCTTGTGGTAGTCATCGTGCATCTGCAGCACTGAGTCAAGTGAAGTGAATGCATTGCACGGGTCTCCACGCGTCATGACTGTTGCCCTGTGGGTGGCCATTGCAGCACTGAGTGATCGCATGCGTTTTCGGGGCTTCTAAGGAGCCAGTATCCCCACAAGCCCACTTCCTCCCACTTGCTTATTTCTTCCCCCAACATACTCACTCACTCCCTCCCCACCCATGCTCTCACCTCACGCTCATCTCGATGGTCAGGAAGTGCCACAGCCGTGTCGGTTGCTGCTTTTTGAGGCACCAATACTGTCTTCCAACCCCCTCCCCTCACGCTCATCTCCATGGTCAGGAAGTGACACAGCCGTGTCAATCGCTGCTTTTTGGGGGACCACAAAAGTTTACCATCCCCATCCCTCACGCTCACCAACAGGAAGTCAAGCATCTGTGCTAGTCGCTGCCTAACCGGCTGTGGGATAAGCACAACCGAGTCTGGACCTTCCCTATCGCCGTGGCTGCTGACGTGGAACGAGCTTTGAGTCGACTCAAGAACCTCCCCCCCGCATGCTCACTCCCTCCCCACCCATGCCCCTACGCTCATCAACAGGAAGTCAAGCAGCTGTGCCAGTCGGTGGCTGACCGACGGTGGGATAAGAGAGACCGAGTCTGGACCTTCCCCATCGCCGTAGCTGCTGACGTGGAACGAGCCCTAAGGGCCCTACCCCATGTGCATGTGAGTGCTAGTGTTTTCTGAGTTCCGCTTGCACATTGTCTTTTCGCTCCTCCTCCGTGTTCCTTCCCTCCCATCATCTCAGGCGGAGGCAGTGACCCTGTTGCCGCACTCAACACATGCCTCCTCACTACCATGTGCCATGCCAGTGTGCTGTGCAGTATCAGAGGGCGTTCCCACAGTTTCCCGACAAGAAAGTTTGCCCAGGCATCTCGCAATTTGGCCAATTTCGAGAAATTTGCCAACATGCGGCTCGAAGTTCGACCTCCAAGATTCCCACCAAATTGGTCGTGCAAGTGTTCATCCACGGCCGTATACGATCTCATCTGACGGCCCACGACGCCTACCAAAATGGGCTACGACCCAACCCACGTTTCTTTGTCATTGCCCGAAGTTCAGCTGCCCGGTTTCCAGGGTCAACGCCATTCAATAGCAAAAACGGTTCAGTGCACCTCAGAATTTTTGGTCTTCGATTTTCGGGCACCGTTTTACGCGGGAGTCAGAAATTCCAACCGAGTCATTGAGTCCATCCGATTGTCAGATGTGAAGGCCTATTGGGTGCGACTAGAATTTTTACGTAGAAGGTCGCAATCTGGTCGTAACGGCTCGCAAGGACGCGGTGTCCAGAGTGGGGCAGTACCCCACTCTGACCACCATCCCGACAATTTTTGAGCCTGGTGGGCAAACTTCAGTGTCGGGAAACTGTGGGAACGTCATCTCAATGTGCCGTCCAATCCATTTTGACTTTCCAATCAAGCTATTCTTAAACCCACCGCCTTCTTCCTTGCTCCTTGCTGCTTCCACCCCATCTTACTTGCTCAGGTGGAGGCAGTGACTCCGTTGCCGCACTCACCACTTGCCGCACTGCCATGTGGCATGCCACTGTGCCCCTTCGTCCACACCCGTCTTCTCAGGTGGAGGCTATGGCTCTGTTACCACAGCAGTCAGCCATGCCGCACTTCCATGTGACATGCCAGTGGGCGGCACTGATGCCCCATCCCACATACCAAATTTGAGATCGAACATGCCAACTCCGCCGTCCCACGCGCCGCACTCACTGGGCTACACACTGCAGCCCTGCAGCGACTGCTGCAGCACGCCGCAGGCATCCTCCCAGCAGCCCTCTGGCATGGAAGCTACTGAGAAGGTTTCTCTGCCATGTTGTGAAGTGCCAGTGCTCTTACCCGATGTCTGCTCCTTCCACCCCCTTCTTCTCAGGTCGAGGCACCTGCTGAATTTCCATCTGCTGTTCCAGGAGGCAGCATCAAAGTGTCACCCCACATCCCAAATCCGAAATCGAACATGCCAAATCCGCCGTCCCACGTGCCGCATTCACCGGGCTACACACTGCAGCCCTGCAGCCAGCGCAGCAGCACTCCACAGGCACCATCCCAGGAGCTCGCTGGCATGGAAGCTGCTGAGAAGGTTTCTCTGGAGTTGGGTCAAGCACCGGAGCAGGTGCAGGTGGTAATAACGAGGGCCGCGGATGGACTGTTGGCTGTGAAGCTGGTGCCTTATAACGAGGTGAGTGAAGCTAGTGGCTTATAACGAGGTGACAGTGAATGCTGGTGCCTCGTAACTATGCGAGCGACCGAGGTGCTTGCTTGTTCGAGCATTGCAATAATTGAAGGCGCTGCAATATCCACGATGTTTGAAGTGTAGTCCTGTGGCAGTAATTGATGCTGCTTACTGCTTTTCTGTGCTGTGCACAGCATGTGAAGGTGCAAGAGGGCCCCAGCCTTCCTGCTGCGATGACTGAGCACGGCTGTGCTCTTCCTGTGTGTTCCCACTCATTCTCCCCTTGCTGCACCCCTCGCCTCTGCTTTTCCTCTAACCACCGCTCCTGCGTTGCGCAGGTGGTGAAGGGCGTGAGCAAGTCCATTCCAGCGCGATTTGGCTTTTGAATCCGACTCAATATTTACCTCAAAAGTCACCATTGAAAAAAAAGAAAAGGATTCCTCTCCTTGTTGCCCGTGTGTTGCGCAGGTGGTGAAGGACGTGTGCAAGTCCATTCCAGGGCGCTTCTATGATAGAGTGTCCAGGTGGGTGAGAGCAGAGCAGAACAGATGGGTGGGTGGAGAGGGGAACAGGTGGGTGGTTATGGTGAGGGGAGCAGGTGATTTTTCTCCCACCACCCAGGTGGTGAAGGATGTGTGCAAGTCCGTTTCAGGGCGCGTCTGGGATAGAGTGTCCAGGTGGGTGGGTGTGTGGGGAAGGGAGAAGGTGAGGTGAGATGAGGTGGACGGGCAAGGTGGGTGGGTGAGAGGGGAAAGATGGTGATTTCTGCGGCGCCCCAAAAGGCGGTGAAAGAGGTGTGCTAGTCCATTCCAGGGCGCCTTTAGAACAGTGTGACCAGGTGGGTGGGCTATGTAGAGGGGAGCCGGTGAGTGAAATAGATGGTCGGCATGGGTGGGTGGGATATTTGGGAGGCGGCAGAAGTTGAAGGGAGATGGGAGCGAGCAGGTGTGTGTTAAAGTGATTCGTGTTGGTCGGCAGCGCTCGTCATGCATGTGCGTTGAGGACAGACGGGATGGTCTCTGATTGTCTGAGGATGCATGATTGGGCAGGTGATTATCTGATGCATCATGCGCGTACAGACACGAGTACTTTGTCGCCGCATGCTTGTCGTGCTGGGCAGGTGCGTGCTTTAGTCGAGTTTGTCAGCAGCGCTCGTGCGTATGCATGATTGGATTGGGCATGTGATGATCTGATGCATGTGCGAATTGGGCATCATGCATGTACAGACATGAGTACTTTGTCACCGCATGCTCGTCATGAAATGGAATGTCCAACGCTGTTCTCTCCCTTCCCTTCCGTGTCTTCCCACGCAGGCAGCGGAAGTACCCTTCTCACACAGATGAGGTGGTTGCTTGCAGCTACTTACTAGGCCTATTTAAGAAGCAGTGTCCCTGTCCCTGCTTCGCCTCTCTTCCTTGGATGGATTGCCTTGCAGGCAGTGGAAGTACCCATTCCACATGGCGGATGAGGTGGTAGTTGCTTGCAACTACTTGTTTGGCACCTTCATGGAGCATTGAACCTCCCTCTCTTCTCTTCCATTCCAGCCACATCATGCAGGCAGTGGAAGTACCCATTCCACATGGCGGATGAGGTGGTTGCAGTGACATAAGAGGCGCTTTAAGGGAAATCTTTCTCGTTATTCCCTCCTCTTCGCCTCTTCCTTGGCATGTCATGCAGGCAGTGGAAGTACCCATTCCACATGGCGGATGAGGTGGTTGCAGCGACTTAAGCGGCTCTTTAAGGGAAACGTTTTTCGTTATTCCCTCTTCTTCTTCTCTTCCTCGTCGTCCTCTGCAGGCAGTGGAAGTACCCATTCCACATGGCGGATGAGGTGGTTGCAGCGCTCGCATGCATCACTGACGTTCCTATTCAGGTGCATTGCGGTAACCATGCGCACTCGGTAACACTGCTCAGTTGCTGTTGCACATTGCTGCAGGGTGCTTTCATTGCTCGCCGTGCAGATTGGTGATGCTGGTGCTGCCGCCTGGCTAGTGTGGCTTACAAGGAAAAGCAACCGCATGTGTGTGTCAGCCAGTTTCATCTCAATGTGCTTGCATGCCAATGTATCATGATTTCCCGTTGTGAGCAGATTTTTCTAGATGTTTAGTAATCCTCTCCTACTATCCTGTGTGGCCCTGCACTCTTGTCTTTTATCCATGCAGATAGTTGCCGATCCTCCCTCGTTACTGTCACAGACTGCTTGGGGCAGTATAGAGGGGGAGGCGGACAAGGACGAGGAGGAACATGCAAGAAAGCGGCTGCGAGGAGATGCGAGCTGCATGAACGGGAACAATTCGCATCCCAGCAGCATACATGCCAGCGGTGCTGCTGGTGGTGGCAGCACAGACGCTATGCCTCCCCTTGCCACGTGTGGTGATCACAGTGGCACCTCTGGTGACTTGCCAGGAAGTGGATTCATAGCAGCAGGTGGAGAGGAGGGTGTTTGTGCGTTTGTTGCAACAGGTGGAGCGAGAGACACGCTAGCCAGAGAGGGGGACATGCGTGACAGTGGTGGGGTAGGCATCTGCAGCGGCAGCACTGGTTCCGATTCCAGCCTGAGTGCTCTTCCCTCCGTGCTTCCATCATCGCCGGTAGTGCCGTCTTCTGACCAGCTACGGCCGCGGCTTTCACGGCATGAAGAACAGCCACTGATGGAGGATAATCAGATGGGGGGGGAACAGACGAAGCAGCAGTTGATGCAGCAGCAGCAGCAGATTCAGAATATACAGCAGCGACATCAGCAACAGAACCAGCAGCAGCAGCAACAACAACCTCAGCAACAGCAGCAGCAACCTCAGCAACATCAGCAACAGAACCAGCAGCAGCAGCAGCAGCAGCAGCAGTGTCGAAGGATCCGCCTGCTGCCATCCTCCAACGGCCGAATGGCTGCATCCTTTGTCTTCCACCAGGTGCTGCTTTTGAGGTGCCTCAAAAGGTATTGCTTCACGCACCATTCTTTCCGTCTTCAGTGAGATGTCTCTGTGTTCAAGCCTGTAAACAATAATTTCGTTTTTGAACGGTTTTCGGTATTCGAACGGTTTTTCTCAAGCAAAAAGCAGGATCGAACTGGCATGTTATAGGCATGCTCTTGCCTCCAGGTGCTTCTCTTGCCTCCAGGTGCTCTTGTATCCTGTAGCCACTGTGCCAAGCTATTCCACACCAGTCCTTTTCTTTTAAATCAACAGCTTCTTTGTTGTGTCGGCTGCTGCAAGGAATATCATTTGTCTTCCTAGCCCCTCTGTCACTCCCCTCCCCTCGCCTCCACCCCCATCCCCTCTTTTCCTTTCCTTCTCCCTTCCTTCCACCCTCCTTCCTGTCCCCGCCACACCATCACCATCATCATCCCCCTCCTAACCCCTTCTATCAGTGCACACGCCCTGTCCCCTCCTACTCGCGCCCGTACTCCGCCTCGCACAGGATCTCGTGGCGCCCATGAGGAGCGTCCCTTGCTCCATCTGGGAGCACGCACGACGAGCCCGCAGCTTCCTTCCCTTCCCTGTCCACGCCATATCCGCTCTCATTTGTTTTCGGCTCCCCCACCCACAGGATCTCGTGGCGCCCATGAGGAGCGTCACTTGCTCCATCTAGGAGCACGCACGACGAGCCCGCAGCTTCCTTCCCTTCCCTGTCCACGCCATATCCGCTCTCGTTTGTTTTCGGCTCCCCCAACCACAGGATCTCGTGGCGCCCATGAGGAGGAGCGTCCCTTGCTCCATCTGGCAGCGCAGCAACCCCCCAACGCCCCCCCGTCCCTAACCTGCCCGCACCCTCCGTATCCCCCCTCACTCTCTCTCTCTCGGCTACTCCCTCACCCACAGGACCTCGTGGCGCCCATGAGGAGGAGCGTCCCTTGCTCCATCTGGTAGCGCAGCAAGCCCCCAACGCCTCGTCCCTAACCTGCCCGCACCCTCTGTATTCCCCCTCACTCTTTCGCTCTTGGCTACTCCCTCACCCACAGGACCTCGTGGCGCCCATGAGGAGCGTCCCTTGCTCCATCTGGGACCAGGACAAGCGGTGAGCACTGGGCTGTGCTTAGATAGAGGGTTTAGAGGCGCAAAGGGAAGGGATTAGAGGCGCAGAGGGAAGGGATTAGAGGCGCAGAGGGGAGGGATTAGAGGCGCAGAGGGGAGGGATTAGAGGCGCAGAGGGGAGGGATTAGAGGCGCAGAGGGGAGGGGGAAGACGCGCAACGTCACAGGATCTCGTTGCGCCCATGAGGAGCGCCCCTTGACTTTTGAGTCGACTCAAAAGGGGGAAGACGCGCAACGTCACAGGATCTCGTTGCGCCCATGAGGAGCGCCCCTTGACTTTTGAGTCGACTCAAAAGGGGGAAGACGCGCAACGTCACAGGATCTCGTTGCGCCCATGAGGAGCGCCCCTTGACTTTTGAGTCGACTCAAAAGGGGGAAGACGCGCAACGTCACAGGATCTCGTTGCGCCCATGAGGAGCGCCCCTTGACTTTTGAGTCGACTCAAAAGGGGGAAGACGCGCAACGTCACAGGATCTCGTTGCGCCCATGAGGAGCGCCCCTTGACTTTTGAGTCGACTCAAAAGGGGGAAGACGCGCAACGTCACAGGATCTCGTTGCGCCCATGAGGAGCGCCCCTTGACTTTTGAGTCGACTCAAAAGGGGGAAGACGCGCAACGTCACAGGATCTCGTTGCGCCCATGAGGAGCGCCCCTTGACTTTTGAGTCGACTCAAAAGGGGGAAGACGCGCAACGTCACAGGATCTCGTTGCGCCCATGAGGAGCGCCCCTTGACTTTTGAGTCGACTCAAAAGGGGGAAGACGCGCAACGTCACAGGATCTCGTTGCGCCCATGAGGAGCGCCCCTTGACTTTTGAGTCGACTCAAAAGGGGGAAGACGCGCAACGTCACAGGATCTCGTTGCGCCCATGAGGAGCGCCCCTTGACTTTTGAGTCGACTCAAAAGGGGGAAGACGCGCAACGTCACAGGATCTCGTTGCGCCCATGAGGAGCGCCCCTTGACTTTTGAGTCGACTCAAAAGGGGGAAGACGCGCAACGTCACAGGATCTCGTTGCGCCCATGAGGAGCGCCCCTTGACTTTTGAGTCGACTCAAAAGGGGGAAGACGCGCAACGTCACAGGATCTCGTTGCGCCCATGAGGAGCGCCCCTTGACTTTTGAGTCGACTCAAAAGGGGGAAGACGCGCAACGTCACAGGATCTCGTTGCGCCCATGAGGAGCGCCCCTTGACTTTTGAGTCGACTCAAAAGGGGGAAGACGCGCAACGTCACAGGATCTCGTTGCGCCCATGAGGAGCGCCCCTTGACTTTTGAGTCGACTCAAAAGGGGGAAGACGCGCAACGTCACAGGATCTCGTTGCGCCCATGAGGAGCGCCCCTTGACTTTTGAGTCGACTCAAAAGGGGGAAGACGCGCAACGTCACAGGATCTCGTTGCGCCCTTGAGGAGCGGAGCTTCCCTCGCTCCATCTGGCAGCAGGACAAGCGGTGAGCAATTGTCGCGTCTGCCGTGCAGGTGAGAGGCGCACCTGAATAGGAGGGTGGAGAACCATCAACGTGCCACGGCCGTCTAGCACAGGATCGTTTGGCGCCCATGGAGAGCAAGCGGTGACACACACCCTTGTTCTATCTGGCAGAAGGACAGGCGGTGAGCTGTGTTGTCTTGTCTGTCTGCAGTGGTACGATTGAAGGCAAGTGAGACGTGCTACGAGGCGTCGTTCGTGAGTGAGATGCTCAGCGGGGGTGGGGAAGGGTGAGATAAGATGTGGTAAAAGAGAAATATGAGACGAGCTGATGTGAAGAAGGATGTAGGACTTGGTCTGAGACATGTAGTAAGTCGATTTTTTAGTCGAATAAAAAATCGACTACTACACGCAGGTCTGAGACATGGCTCGTTTCCTCTCCCTACCTTGCACTTTTCTCACTGGCTTTGAGGGTGTACCGTGTTCTCTCACTGTTTCAAAGTGCTCTATACCCCCATTCGTCTCCTCTCCCCACCTCCCGCTCCGGCCGCAGGCTGTGGGTGTTCCCTCTCTCCTCCCTGGATGCATTTCTTCAAGCCGTGCAGTCGGTGCCAACCTGTGATGTGGAGGTGAGTGAGTGCCGAGCCGTGCAATTCGGGAGGTGAGGGGTGTGAGTGACGTGGAGAGGTGGGCGTGTAAGTGAGAGTACCACGCTGTGATCTGCGAGGTCAGTGAGTGGCACAAGTGGAAGGGAGTGTGGGTGGTCCTGTTTCCTCTCTCCTCCCCCGATGCATTTCTCGAAGCCGTGCAACCGGTGCCAACTTGCGATGTGGAGGTGAGTGAGTGTGGAGCCGTGCAACTCAGGAGGTGAGTGAGTGTGCAGCCGTGCAACCCATGAGGTTAGTACGGACGGAGCCGTGAAATCTGTGAAGTTAGGGGGTGATGCAAGTGAACAAGGCCTGTGGGTGTTCCTCTCTCCTCCTTGGATGAGTTCCCTCGTGCCGACATGCGATGCGGAGGTGACAGTTTGTGTAACTTGGACGCTAAAGTTCCGTAGGGCAATCTGTGAGGTGAGGGAGCTGGATAAGAAGAGAAGCCTGTGGGTGTTCCCTCTCTCCTCTCTAGATACGTTCTCCCAAACTGTGCAGTCGGTGCAGAGATGCGATTTGGAGGTGAGGGGTGTGTGTGTGTGTGTGCATCCATGCGTGCAGTGCAGTCTGTGAGGTGAGGGTTGATGTACGTGGAAGTGTGAGTGGGTGTTACCTTTTCGTCCTCTTGTCCTCTCGGTGGAGAGAGAAACCCATACTCTGTGGCCAATGCTCTTGCTTGTGTCCCCTTGTCCTCTCGAACGCCCTGCCGCCACAGGTGGAGCCGTTGCCGGCCGTGGTGAAGCGAGCACTGGAGGAGACAGCCAAGCTACCAGACGATTCAGGTAAGTCACGCATCTCCTGGTCGTTTGTGGCATGCCATCCTCCCATTGCTCGTCCCTTACGATTTTGGAGTTACTACCATCCCCGCTTTTACTCACTCCGGCCACCGCCACTCCTCTGCAGCACGCTAAGGGTCCTCCCCATCCTTCCTTCACCTGGTCAGGAAGGATGCCGTCCACGCTAAGGTTCCTCCCCATCCTTCCTTCCTCCCACTGGTCTTCTCCCACACAGGTCGCTACTTTGACTTGCCGGACGGATTTCGGAAGCTTCTGATGCCCTTCCAAGAGCAAGGCATGCAGTGAGTGTGACGTCGCGCGTTCAGCCCTGCAGGCTTTAGTGCAGCATCACAATGCAAGCTGCTTCCAACCTCTCTACTCTCTGTGGCTCCCCATTCTTTCGCTTCTAATCTGTTTTGAATTCGTTTTAACCTCACCTCTCCCAGGTTTGCCCTCTCAGGAGGTGGCCGGGTGCTGGTAGCGGATGAGAGAGTGCTGGGGAAGACGGTGCAGGCCGTCGTGTTGGCCTCCCAGTCCTGCTGCCTCACACCATCCCCTCTCCTCTCTTCTCCTCCCTCTCCCAGTTCTGACGTGGCGGCCGGGTGCAGATTACAGGTCAAAGCTCGCTTGTAATCACTTCACTAGTGTACTCGATCGGTGTGAGTTGAACACATGACAAAAGATTTGTTTTGAGACGTCTCAAAGCTGATTACAGGTCAAAGCTCGCTTGTAATCACTAGTGTACTCGATTGGTGTGAGTTGAACATTTACCCCTCTCTCCTTCCCCCTGTCGTGCCCAGGTTTGCTCTCCCACGTGGCAGGCGAGTGCTGATAGCGGATGAGAGAGTGCTGGGGAAGACGGTGCAGGTGACAGGCTGCCAGTGCTGACTCACACCATTCTCTCATATCTTCTCTCCCCCCCCTCCCTCTGTTGCCCAGGTTTGCTTTATCAAGAGGCGGACGGGTGTTGATAGCAGACGAGATGGGGCTGGGAAAGACGGTGCAGGCAAACAGGGCTGGCTGTGCTGACTCACACCATTCTCTCATCTCTTCTCTTCCCCCCCTCCCTCTGTTGCCCAGGTTTGCTTTATCAAGAGGCAGGCGGGTGTTGATAGCAGACGAGATGGGCCTGGGAAAGACGGTGCAGGCAATAGGGCTGGGATGTTGGTCCCACTGCCTCACACCATTCCCTCTCCGTTCCTCGCCTGTTCCTCCTACTCCCTCTCCCTATCTTGGCCAGGTTTGCTCTGTCGCGTGGTGGCCGGGTGCTGATAGCAGACGAGATGGGGCTGGGAAAGACGGTGCAAGCAATAGGGCTGGCTGCATGCTACAGGGACGAGTGGCCCGTGCTTGTCATCGCCCCCTCCTCTCTGCGCCTGCACTGGGCCATGGTGAGGCATTCCCTTGGGATTTAATCTAGAATTTGCACTAGAACAGAGTAAGGTTGATTGGTGCATGACAAGACGGTGCAGGCCATAGGGTTGGCTGCATGCTACAGGGACGAGTGGCCTGTGCTTGTCGTTGCCCCTTCCTCTCTGCGCCTGCACTGGGCCATGGTGAGACATGTGGGTGGACTGGGAACGTGCAGAGCAAGGTTAGTGAAGGCAATGCTGCACCTTGCTCTGTCAGCATTGTCTGCACGACAATGCTGCATGGGCATAGGTCATGGTGAGCAGCCCATGCTTGTCGTTGCCCCTTCCTCTCTGCGCCTGCACGGGGCCACGGTGAGGCGTGTGGGAACGTCCCTTTTCTTCTTTTCACTCGCCCTTCCCTTTCCCCACTCCACTTCCCTTCTTCATGGCAGAGCATCATGCGCTGGCTTAACCTCTCCTTTCTCTTCTTCACCACTCCCCCCACCCCCCCACCCACCCCACCACCCCCACCCCCCCCACCCCCCCCCACCCCCCCCACCACCCCCACCCCCCCATCCCCCCCACCACCCCCACCCCCCCACCCCCCCCACCACCCCCACCCCCCCCACCCCCCCCACCACCCTCACCCCCCCCACCACCCCCACCCCCCACCCCCCCACCACCCCCACCACCCCCACCCCCCCACTCCCCCATCCCCCCCACCACCCCCACCCCCCCCACCCCCCCCGTCCACCCCCACCCACCCCACCACCCCAACCCCCCCACCCCCCCCCCCCCTTTCCCCACTCCACTTCCCTGCACCATGGCAGAGCATCATGCGGTGGCTCGACCTGCCTCCTGAAGACATCACGGTGAGTCATGTGCAAAGTGCAAGCCATGCCATGCCATGCCACACCATGTCACCCATGTCATGTCATGCGATGCCATGCCATGCCATGCCACGCTATGCCATGCTATGCCACGCCATGCCACGCCATGCCATACCATGTCATGCCATGCCCTGCCATGCCATGCCCTGCCGTGCCATGCCCTGCCCTGCCGTGCCATGCCCTGCCGTGCCATGCCATGCCACGCCCTGCCATGCCATGCCACGCCCTGCCATGCCATGCCATGTCATGCTATGCCGTGCCATGTGCATGCCACACGTTCTCATCCATGCCATACCATGCCATGCCCTCCTATGCCATATCCTCTGCTCCCTGTCAGGTGGTGATGCCTCAGGGCGGCGCCACTCGCAGCATCAACGGGTTCAACTTCGTCCGCTGCTCCTGAATGCAGCCCCACGCCCCTCATTCACCGTGCCCCATGCCCTATGTCCCACGCCCATACCCCTTACGCTGCCTTCTGTCAGGTGGTGATGCCTCAGGGGGGTGCCACTCGCAGCATTAGCGGGTTCAACTTCATCCGCTGCACTGGCACTCAGTTCCACACCCCTTGCCCCATGCCCCGCATCCCCATGTCCCATGCCTTACCCCATGTACTGCCCTCCTGTCAGGTGGTGATGCCTCAGGGGGGCGCCACTCGCAGCATTAACGGGTTCAACTTTGTCCGCTGCTCTCGCAACCAGCCCCTCTCACTGCAATCACCCTTCAACATAGTCTCCTATGACCTGCTTGATCGCCTGGAGCAGCCAGATGAGCCGTTCAAGGTGAGCTGAGGCACTACACCCCTCCCTCTTGCCGCACTCACACCCAGGGATCAATGTTCATCGTGGAGTAGCTGCAAACCTGTAAAAACTCTTAAGCAAAAGGAACAAGACTGTGAAACTAAATCCAGAAGATTCAAGAAAATCTCACCCAGCTCACCTCACTGCACTCGAACCAACAAGTGCATCACATAACATTCAGCATCCCATCACATAACATTCAGCATCCCATCACATAACATTCAGCATACCATCACATAACATTCAACATCCCATCACATAACATTCAGCATCCCATCACATAACATTCAGCATCCCATCACATAACATTCAGCATCCCATCACATAACATTCAGCATCCCATCACATAACATTCAACATCCCATCACATAACATTCAGCATCCCATCACATAACATTCAGCATCCCATCACATAACATTCAGCATCCCATCACATAACATTCAGCATCCCATCCCTCCTCCATCCATTCCCCGTGAATGCACGCACCAGGTGGTGAAAGCATACAAGTCGCACTAGTGAACCACAAGGCCAAGCGCACGAGTCTGGCTGTGGCGCAACAAGTGCATCACATGCATCACATTCAGGATCCCATCCCTCCTCCATCCATTCCCCGTGAATGCACGCACCAGGTGGTGAAAGCATACGAGTCGCACTACCTCAAGAACTGCAAGGCCAAGCGCATAGGCCTGGCTGTGCAATAAGCAGCCTGGCCGTGCCGAAAGTGCATCACATTCACCCTCCCCCCTTCCCACGCACATACACCAGGTGGTGATAGCAGACGAGTCCCACTACCTCGAGAACTACAAGGCCAAGCGCACAGGCCTGGTTGTGGCGCAACAAGTGCATCACATGCACCCCACACCAACCCCCCCTCCCTTCCCCATGTATGCACCTTCCTGCCAGGTGGTGATAGCAGACGAGTCGCACTACCTTAAGAACTACAAAGCCAAGCGCACAAACCTGGCCGTTCCACGATTGCAGGTGAGGCTCTAGCAGCTTTTGAGGGCACGAATGACACAGCAGGAGCTTGTGCTTCCTGTTAGACTCGAAACGTCACTTTGTCGACCCGACCCCAACTGTTCTTTTAACGATTGGCAGTTATTGAATTTACCCGAGAAGCTGTTGTTGACCCCATTGACCATCATTGTCCGCGTTGACTGCCGTTGACCCTCTTGACCGTGCCCCCATCACCCAGCCAAGCGGGCCATGCTACGCACGGCACTCCTGCCTTGTCCCACCCCTATTGGAGTGACTTTTGAAAATTCTCAAAAGCGACCCTCTTTCACCCCATTGACCCTCGTTGACCCTCGTTGACCCTCGTTGACCCTCTTGACCCCGCCCCCATCAGGCAGCCAACAGGGCCATTCTTCTCACGGGTACACCGGCCCTCTCACGCCCCATCGACCTCTTCAAGCAGGCACGTGTTACTGAGCTGCCTGCGTTCTTGTGAGCTATATCTGTTGCTGTGTTCCTGTGTCAGGTATGTGTGTGAGCATGTGCTCGTTGGGTATGCACAGGCGCACCGGCCCTCTCACGCCCCATCGACCTCTTCAAGCAGGCACGTGCCGCGGAACCACTTATGTTCTTGTGAGCTACATACATGGTGCTGGGACTGGGTTGCTGTGACGGGTATGTATGCGAGCGTGTGAAATGGACTCATTGGGTTGGGTCCGCCCACATGCATCGACCTGTTTATGCAGGCACGTGTTGCTGAGCTGGATATGTTGCTGTGCCCAGCCCCTGCACATGCATGTGTCTGCTGTGTTCCCTCATATGTGTGTGCTCTCTCATTCTCGCATCTCTCCTTCGCTTGCCCCATCTCAACCCTCGCTGCCTCATCTCCGCTCCCCTCCTCGCCCCCCATTCATCCTGCGGCCCAAGCATTCCATTCATCCTGCGGCCCAAGCATTCCATTCATCCTGCGGCCCAAGCATTCCATTCATCCTGCGGCCCAAGCATTCCATTCATCCTGCGGCCCAAGCATTCCATTCATCCTGCGGCCCAAGCATTCCATTCATCCTGCGGCCCAAGCATTCCATTCATCCTGCGGCCCAAGCATTCCATTCATCCTGCAGCCCAAGCATTCCCTTCATCCTGCGGCTCAAGCATTCCATTCATCCTGCGGCCCAAGCATTCCATTCATCCTGCGGCCCAAGCATTCCATTCATCCGCTGTGCCCTGTCACCCCATTCGTGCCCTTCTTTCTGGAATGCCAAAAAGACATTCCCCGCCATGCCCCATCCCCTCCCTTCCTTTCCTCGCTTCAGCCGCTGCTTATCGCAAGCTGGGGGAGTACGGCAATAGGTACTGCTGCGGGGTGACTTCTGAGGTGCCTCAATCTTTGCTGCACCATTCACTTCAGTGGTCCAAGCATCCCCCGCTGTTCCCCATCCTGTCCTCCTATAAATCCATGCCTTTCAGCTGGAGGCGCTTCAGCCGCGTGCCTATCACAAGCTGGGGGAGTATGGCAAGAGGTACTGCCGCGGGGTGAGTGGTTGGATGCGGTAATAACAGGTTGCATTAAGTGGCAAGAGTTACTGCCGATCAAGGGTGTGAGTGGTACAATGCGGTACCAGCAGGTCGCCTTCGATTTCCAAGTAATTTTGCTCATGGGTGTGTTGGGTGTGTTGTTACATTCATGCTTTGGTTCTTTTTGCATTCATACTCGCTTCCATGCACAGTAAGTGTCTACGTAGTCTTCCCTGCATTTGTCTTTGTCAACAACACCAGGGGAGATTTGGAGAATTCACAGGCTCTAGCAATCGGGAGGAGTTGCATGCAGTGCTGAGCGGTACGGTCATGATCCGGCGGCTCAAGAAGCAAGTGCTGCCACAACTGCCAGCCAAGCGACGACAACAGGTAGTGAGGTGTTAATTTCTGGGGGGGGCGGGGGTACTTGGTAGAAACTTCTTTGTAAGTGGGTAGGGGCTGCATAGTGAAAACTACTTGGGATTGTTTGTTGTTTGCCTGATAGCAGGCAGGGATTGTTTGTATGTTTATGGACAAGTTAGTTTTCAGGCAACTTTCATAGTAGATAAGACAGCAGGTAGAGTGTGTGGGTGGGTGAGCTTGGTTTTCTTGCACGAGTGGCGAGTGCCTGTTTTGTTCCTGTGCCTGTGTCCGTGTTTGTGACAGACTAAGTGGTTGCGAGTGGTGAAGGATAGGTGACAGCCATGAAGCACGTACGTTCGCCTGTAGGCACCTCATAGTCCTCACCCCTCACCCACCCCTCACCCACCCCTCACCCACCCCTCACCCACCCCTCATCACCCACCCCTCACCCACCCCTCACCCACCCCTCACCCACCCCTCACCCACCCCTCACCCACTCCTCACCCACCCCTCATCACCCACCCCTCACCCACCCCTCACCCACCCCTCACCCACCCCTCACCCACCCCTCACCCACTCCTCACCCACCCCTCATCACCCACCCCTCACCCACCCCTCACCCACCCCTCACCCACCCCTCACCCACCCCTCCCCCACCCCTCCCCCAACCCTCACCCACCCCTCACCCACCCCTCACCCACCCCTCTCCCACTTCCCGCCCCCGTCGCCTTCACTCTTCCCCCATCCTCTCATCCCTCCCCCCATCCCTCGCCCATCCCTCCCCTCATCCGTCCGCCATCCATCCGTCATCCCTGCCCCACCGCTACCCATCTGCTGTTTTCCTCGTTGTGCAGGTGGTGCTGATGCTAGAGGGGAGGGACGGCCATGACATGACACCCGCGTCACCACTCTCAACCACGTATTACTTCCCCAACCCTCCCCACTTCCCCACCTCCCCCATGTGCAGGTGCTGCTGATGCTGGAGGAGAAGGCTACGAAGCCCATCCGCGCACTCTCAAGCTCATTACATCCCCAATCCCTCCCCATCCCTCCCCCATCCCTCCCCATCCCTCCCCATCCCTCCCCCATCCCTCCCCCATCCCTCCCCCACCACCTCTCCCCGGCCACAGGTGCTGCTGATGCTGGAGAAGAAGGCCATGAAGCCGCCTAATAATCCCCATACCTCGCCTATCCTCCCGCCACCCCTTTTCCACTGCCCTCCCTTGCCATGCCACAGGCGCTGCTGATGCTTGAGGAGAAGGCCATGAAGCCCTTCAGGGCCCTCTAAGGCACCTAAGAATCCCCATACGTCCCCCATCCTTCCCCCACTTCCCCACCCTCCCCCACACCTCCCCCTGCCACAGGTGCTGCTGATGCTGGAGGAGAAGGCCATGAAGCCCATTCGCGCACTGCATTTGCAGGTGGGTTGTGGGAGGAAGGGATTGAGTACAAAGGGAGGTGGAAAGAGAGGGAAGCATGCTGGAGAGAAGGCCATGAAGCCCATTCGCGCACTGCATATGCAGGTGGGTTGTGGGAGGGAGGGATTGAGTACAAAGGTAGGTGGAAAGAGAGGGGAAGCATGCTGGAGAGAAGGCCATGAAGCCCATTCGCGCACTGCATATGCAGGTGGGTTGTGGGAGGGAGGGATTGAGTACAAAGGTAGGTGGAAAGAGAGGGGAAGCATGCTGGAGAGAAGGCCATGAAGCCCATTCGCGCACTGCACAAGCAGGTGGGTTGGTGGGGGAGGGCAGGAGGGAGTTGGTGCAAAGGATAGGGGAAACAAGGTGGAGAAGAGTCAACACCCCTCTTATCCGTCCTCTTCCCCCTCCCCCAAACCCCAAACCCTCTCCCCCCACGCACACATAAACCAGCTGAGAAAGGTGCGGGAGAAGAAGGCGGCTGCAGGGGGTGCAAGTGGGGACTTTCGAGACTCATAAGTCAATCCCCTACCCTTCCCCCCACAATGACCCCCCCACGCACACATAAACCAGCTGAGAAAGGTGCGGGAGAAGAAGATGGCGGCTGCAGGGGGTGCAGATGGGAGGGGGGGAGCTTCTGAAACGTTACAAGATTTCACTTACCCTTGCTTCCTCTCCTCCCCCAAACCCTTCCCCCCCCACAACGACCCCCCCGCGCACACATAAACCAGCTGAGAAAGGTGCGGGAGAAGAAGAGGGCGGCAGCGACTGCGGAAAAGGAGAGCGAAGCAGTCATGGAGGAGAGGGCTCTGGTGTCCCGGGTGAGTGGGGAATGCTTGAAAGAGGGATATGTTTCCTGTCTGGTTGGCCTAACGTCTGCTGCAGAGGGGGAGAGTGCAGCAGTGATGGAGGACAGGGCGCTGGTGTCCAAGGTGGGTGGGTGGTGCTTGCATGGCAAATATATTTATACTGTTAAGGACGGATATGATTGCAGGAAGCCAGTTGAGAAGACTTTGGTAGTTAGAATAGACTCCCTGGTAGAAAGGAGAGAAGACAAAAGACTGAGCAAGTCCATTCAATTACACAAACATTGCCACCCTCCCTCGTTGCCACCCTGTTCCCGCAGCTTTACTAAAGAACGCCCGAGGCGTTGGTGGAAGGTGGAAGGTGATTACAATGAGAGTACCTGGTGGGAAAGGACGTGAAAAAAAGAAGAGTTTTGAGACGTCTCAAAATGTACTCTCATTACAATGAGAGTACCTGGTTGGAAAGGACAATGTGCTTTTGGGAGTTCTCAAAGCCGCCCCGTCTCCACTCTCAAGAAGCAGCAGAACCTTCCCCCTTCCCTTCCTTCATCACCTCCGTTCCCATGCGAGCAGCTCTACACGGAGTCGGCAGAAGCGAAGGTGGATGTGAATGCTGTGAGGGATGACCCATCACCACTCGTGACTGATTGTTCCCCCAATGAGCAGCTGTACACGGAGTCGGCAGAAGCGAAGGTGGATGCTGTGAGGGAGTACCTGGGGACCACGCCACGCCCCATCACCCTCCTCTCACCACCCTCAGAGTCACATTTCCGCTTTCCATCCCTCATTCCCACCCACCCCTTCGATTGCCTCCATCCCCCATGCGAGCAGCTCTACACAGATTCAGCAGAGGCGAAGGTGGATGCTGTGAGGGAGCACCTAAAGACCATGCCCCATTGCCCTCTCATCTCACCACCCTCAGAGACGGCAGTTACATTTCCCCTTTCCTGCCCTCATCCCCATGCGAGCAGCTGTACACGGAGTCAGCTGAGGCAAAGGTGGATGCTGTGAGGGAGTACCTGGGGACGATGCTGGAGGTGAGTCGCTGGGCATGTGGGTGTATGAATTGGCACCATCATGCATGCACACCATGCATGCACACCATGCATGCACACCATGCATGCACGCACACCATGCATGCACACCATGCACGCACACCATTCACGCACACCATGCACATTGCACACCATGCACATTGCACACCATGCATGCACACCATGCACGCACACCATGCACGCACACCATGCATGCACACCATGCACGCACACCATGCACACACACCATGCACGCACACCATGCACATTGCACACCATGCACATTGCACACCATGCACATTGCACACCATGCACATTGCACACCATGCATGCACACCATGCACGCACACCATGCACGCACACCATGCACGCACACCATGCATGCACACCATGCACGCACACCATGCACGCACACCATGCATGCACACCATGCATGCACACCATGCACGCACACCATGCATGCACACCATGCACGCACACCATGCATGCACACCATGCACGCACACCATGCACGCACACCATGCATGCACACCATGCACGCACACCATTCACGCACACCATGCACACCATGCACATTGCACACCATGCTGGAAGTGGGTCGCTGGGCATGTGGGTGTATGAATTGGCATCACCATGCATGCACACATCGTGCTATGAGGGAGTAGGCACGATGCTTGAGGTGAGTCCATACGCCCAGGGCCTTGGGTCTTGGGTCCTTGTACCTAGACCCTCAAGGCATGTGGGCTGGAGGTGGGATAAAATGTACTTGCATCATCTGGTGATGGTTGATTTGCTAGTGTTGAATGTCAGATTCTAGTCATCATGTATCGCATGGTGTTGGATTTGCTGGTGTTGGCATGTCTGTTCGCATGTCTGCTAGCATGTTTTGCTTGCGACTGGGATCAGTTGGGCTCCTGTTTTGATAAGAATTCCCGTAACAATGTGTCTGTTCGCATGTCTGCTCGCATGTCTGTTTGTGCTCCCTGCCTGTGCCTCTGTGTGTGTGTCCCTCCTGCTTGCACTCGTGCAGGGGGGGTGCAAGTTCCTGGTGTTCGCCCATCACATGACCATGATGGATGCTCTTTCCGACTTCTTCCAGGTAACCATGCCATGCCATGCCACTCCATGCCACTGTGCAATGCATGCATGTACTTGGTTTTGCTTTAGCAGCAGGCCATGCATGTACTTGGTTTTGCTTTAGCAGCAGGCCATGCATGTACTTGGTTTTGCTTTAGCAGCAGGCCATGCATGTACTTGGTTTTGCTTTAGCAGCAGGCCATGCATGTACTTGGTTTTGCTTTAGCAGCAGGCCATGCATGTACTTGGTTTTGCTTTAGCAGCAGGCCATGCATGTACTTGGTTTTGCTTTAGCAGCAGGTCATGCATGTACTTGGTTTTGCTTTAGCAGCAGGCCATGCATGTACTTGGTTTTGCTTTAGCAGCAGGTCATGCATGTACTTTGTGCTAATAGGGGGTGCTGCCATGAGCAATGCTGACCTACAGCTGCAGGGTACTGCTCAACAGTTAGCCATTTAGATTGCACGGAACTGGGTCACACTGGGGTTCGAACAGGAGACCTTTTGGACTGTGTCCTGAAAGAGTTTTTTGGACAGTTCAATGCATTCACTTTCCTTCGTCATCCTGTCTTTCTCCGTTTCTCCCCTCACTCCTTCGCACCCAGTTCGCCCTCTTTCACTCCCCTTTCCCATTTTTTCCCCCTTTCCCGTTCCCCCTTTCTCCCCCATCCCTCAGAAGGAGAAGGTTGGGTACATTCGCATTGACGGGGGCACTGCGCCTGAAAAGAGGCACCATCTGGTGTCGCGCTTTCAGGAAGACGCTGGCACTCGTGTGGCTGTGGTGAGTGAGATGACGGGTGGGTGTGGTGAGTCTGTCTCACTGAGGCGTGGGTGTGGCTGTGGTGAGGGAATAATAAGGGGCATCAGCATCTGGTGCTTTTTCAGATGGAGCATGTGGCCGTGGTGAGTGAGTGTGGGGCCCACGCCTGCCGCATGGATGCCCAGCTGCACAATTAAGTGGGTCATGAGTCACCAGCTGGTGGCGTGCTTTCAGACTGATCCTGACACGCGCATGGCTGCGATGCGATTGTTTCTCTGAGGGGCGATGGTGTGGCTGTGTCTGGGGAATAATGCGGACACTCACATGGCTGTGGGGACGCCACAATTTAGGCGATAAGGGAGGCATGAACTGGTGGTGCGCATCCAGACTGATCCTGACACTGATGTGCGTGTGGTGAGACTGTTTCTCTGAGGGGCGATGGTGTGGCTGTGTCTGGGGAATAATGCGGACACTCACATGGCTGTGGGGACGCCACGATTTAGGCGATAAGGGAGGCATGAACTGGTGGTGCGCATCCAGACTGATCCTGACACTGATGTGCGTGTGGTGAGACTGTTTCTCTGAGGGGCGATGGTGTGGCTGTGTCTGGGGAATAATGCGGACACTCACATGGCTGTGGGGATGCCACGATTCAGGCGATAAGGGAGGCATGACCTGGTGGTGCGCATCCAGACTGATCCTGACACTCATGTGCGTGTGATGAGACTGTTTCTCTGAGAGGAGTGTGGAGAGATGAGTGTCGTGGTGAGATGGACTCTCTGAGGCGTGGTAATGGTTTCGACGTGCGGGCAGGCAGAAGTAAGAGTAAGAGAGTAAGAGGAGCATCAGCTGATAACTCCTTCCTCACATCTTGGATGCGTCTGCTGCACTGCCCTTGCTTGGCTTGGGGATGCGAGAAGGGCAGCACCCCCAGGCTGGGGATGCGAGAAGGCAGCACCCCCAGGCTGACTGCTGCCATTTCCGAGGCTGAATTGCTTGCAACCGACAGACTTGTGCTTGCAACCGACAGACTTGTGCTTGCAGGCTTAGTTGAAAACACCCACCGCTGCAGGCTTAGTTGAAAACACTGTTGCTGCAGACTCAGCACGGTGGTGTTTGAGTCGACTCACAACCATACCCATTTACTTCTCTATTCCATCACTCTCTCATCTCCGATCCCCTCCCTGCCTCCCTCCCTCACAGCTGGGCATTCATGCAGCAGGGGTGGGTCTCACGCTCACAGCAGCCAGCACGGTGGTGTTTGCAGAGATGGCGTGGAATCCGGGGGACCTGGTGCAAGCAGAGGACAGGGCGCACAGGATAGGCCAGGTGGGTGCTGGGGGGTTGAATGCAGTGATGGGGTGTGGAATGCGGTGGTGGATGGTATGGTGCAGCTCTGAGGGGTATTTCACCGTGATGGGGTAGGTCTGGCGAAGAGGAGATGATGGCGTGGAAACCGGGGGACTTGGTGCAGGCTGAAGACAGGGGTCTAGGATAGGGCAGGTGGGTGGGTGCTGGGGGGTCGAGTGCGGTGGTGGGGGAGAAGAGGAGATGATGACGTGGAAACCGGGGGGGGTTTGGTGCAGGCAGAAGACAGGGCGCACAAGATTGGGCAGGTGGGTGATGGGGGGTTGAGTGCGGTGGTGGGAGGTGGTGTTTGGTAGGACTTGTAAGGTGTAAAGCAGAGTGAGGGAGATGCCGTGGAGCGCCGGGGACATGTTGCAGGTGGGGGATAGGCCGCACAGGATAGGGCAGGTGGGCTCTGCTGCCTGGGGTGGGACGTATTGTTACAGATAGAAATTTCTACTCCTGGGTCCGTGCTCTTTCTCTCCTGGGTTCTGTAAACTAATCTCCTCTCATTTCCTATTCTCCTACCCCTGCTTCTCTGCTCGTTGCCTGCTTATCTTCCCTTCACCCAGCGTTTTCTAATCTACCGTCCAGACCAACTCTGTGACCATCTACTAATACTCTTCTTGTCTGCATGTTTATGACACCTGCTTCTCTCCAATCACTTTATTATCTGCCCTCTTCTCGCGTATTTGCCCTCTTCTCTTCACCTGCCCTTCCCCTCTGCTGTGCAGGCCAATGCGGTCGTGTATTACCAGCACGCCTTTGGTTGTGTTAATTCCTCAACTCCCATCTACCCTCACCGCCCCTTCCCTTCTCTGCCCCGTCCAGGCCAATTTGGTGAATGTGTATCGCCTGCATGTTTTAGAGCCCTGATTCTCTGTGTATGCTGCCCTTCTCTGTGTATGCTGCCCTTCTCTGTGTATGCTGCCCTTCTCTGTGTATGCTGCCCTTCTCTGTGTATGCTGCCCTTCTCTGTGTATGCTGCCCTTCTCTGTGTATGCTGCCCTTCTCTTGCCTTTCTCTTCTCTGCCCCCTCTGCCGTCCAGGCCAATTCGGTGAATGTGTATTACCTGCACGCCCCTGAAACCATTGATGACCTCATATGGTGGGTGCTTGCGTTCTTGTGGTGTTTTTTTTTTTTTTTTTTTTTTTTCAAGCGCCTAGAAAAGTGTGCATGTGGTGTTTGGGTTTGTGTGCCCTTCCCTAGATGGGAGCATCAATTGGTGCTCATTAAACACCTTGAAACGCTTGGATAATGCCGATCTCAACCTATTTTTCTCTAGACTTCAAAAACCTTCACTCAATCAATCACTCAAGGCAGCAGAAGGGCCGCAGTGGTGTATGACACGCTCGGCTTTGTCTGTCTCAAATTCATTCTCACTCGCGAGTTGACTTTTCAATCGGCCCGAAAAGGCCGCAGTGCTGCTTCAGACGCTCCGCTTGGTCTTTCTCGATTTCATTCTCACTCACTCATCCGCATTCTCCCCGTTTGAATCCCCTCCCCCCTCACTCCGTTCCTTGCCGTCTGTCTTTCTGTCCTCTCTTTCTCAGGAGCGTTGTGCAGCACAAGCTGGAGAATCTGGGACAGGTGGGTGGGTGGGTGGGTGCGTGGGTGCGTGGGTGGGCAAGTGAGTGGGGCGTCTGGGGCAGATGAGCGGGCAGGGTGGGATGTTCGGTGTGTCTGGCCTACCTTGCAGCACCCTTTGAGGCGCCTCCGAAACAAATTCTCCTGATGCCCGGTGTGTCGGCCTGCTAATCTAAGATACAACTTTTGAGGCGCTCCAAAGGTCAAATCCTCCTGATGCCTGGTGTGCGGGGCTGCTAAGTAGGGGAACATGTGGTTGTGTGAGCTTGTTGGCTTGTTGAGACAAGGCAATGAGTGCAAGGGCATATATGCATGCGCTGTTGCCATACCCCATCCTCATGCGAGTCATGTGTATGAGTTTGCCCTTCTTGCATCAACAGGTGATGGACGGAGAGCAGAAGCAGTCGCTGCAGGTGCACAAGGACCCTCGCCATGCCGCCATGTTGCCTTGCCCCCTCTGCTTTTTCTTGCGACTCACGTGTCTGTGAATGTGTGAATGTGGCACTGCTCCTTCATGTGGCACTGCTCCTTCATGTGGCACTGCTCCTTCCTTCATGTGGCACTGCTCCTTCCTTCATGTGGCACTGCTCCTTCCTTCATGTGGCACTGCTCCTTCCTTCATGTGGCACTGCTCCTTCCTTCATGTGGCACTGCTCCTTCCTTCATGTGGCACTGCTCCTTCCTTCATGTGGCGCCAACCCCCACCCTTCCTCCGACAGGTGATGGACGGAGAGCAGAAGCAGTCGCTGCAGGTGCACAAGGACCCTCGCCATGCTGCCCCTGCTGCTGCTCTTGCAGGCAGGAAGAAGGGAGGGGGCGATGAGCAGCAGGGGGAGCAGAGCAGTGGGAAGTGGGGGGAGCTTACCCACGGGGGTGTGACTGATGGAGGTGTGACTGTAACGGGGTGTGGGGGTGGGGATGAGAAGAAGAGGCAGCGCACGATCAGTGAGATGTTTCAGCCGCTGAGCTAGTGGGTGGTGGGAAGTTTGTCGTATGGGGGTGATATTCACTAGCAGTGTGACTGTAGAAGGCTGTGGGGGTGGTGGTGGGGATGCGAGGAGGCAGCATGGCATGGCAACGCACGATCAATGAGATGTTCCAGCCTCCGAGCTAGCATGCATGCTCATGCAACATGAAGTGCTCCTCACCATGTCACCATGTCATCCCATGCTGCTTTTGCTTGGATTCTGGCCGGACTATGCTGGTTATTGTTGTACATGCATGCGCATACGCTACGAGATGTTTGTTACTAAGTTACTCAACACACATGTTGTGTTATGAGTTGTATGAAAGAAGAGTGTGCTGAATGCAATATCGCGGAAGTGATTACAACTACTGAGCAAACAACGAGGCCTAGGCATAATATAGCACAGCTAGCTAAGCAGAGGTCGCGGAGTCGCGCGAAGGTTGGGTGTAGGTTTGGGGTTGGGAAACCCGAAGGCGACGCGGGAGACGTTCGGGAGGCAAGGTCGACGGGCCGAGCCTGAATTCCGAAAGTTAGAATTGTACGCGTAAGAGGTGCCTCGGTAAGGAATTACCGAAATTCCTTACACTACCACCCCCCCCCCCCCCCCCCCTCAAGAAAGGTGGTCAATATCAGGCACATGTCGGCGAGAAAGATACTGCCGAAGTACCGAGTGCCCTTCTAGTGAGTCGGCCGGGACCCACGTGTCATCGTCACTTGTGCGATCCACCCATCGTAGTAGGAAGTCGACGTGGCGTCCAGCGGGGGTCGCACGAATGTGATGATTCAATATCTTCCAAGGTTGAAGCGTAGGATCTGCCACTGGTCGGACACTTGGTGCCTGGTGGGGTCGAGCGACGTTGGATGACTGCGGTGCCACGTAGTGGCGAAGTAAACTGACGTGGAAAGCGTCGTGGATTTGCGAGTCGTCCGGTAGTAGAAGTTTCGCAGTGACCGGTGTCAGCATCCGAACGATGCGGAAGGGTCCCACGTAGCGGGGACACAATTTTGCAGGTTGGGGCAGCTTGAGGTTTTACGTGTCCAGGAGGACCATCTGCCCGTCACGAAAGGGTAAATTCCATCGATGTTGGTCGGCGTAGCGGCTGGCGGCCGTATTTGCTTTCCTGATAAATTCCGCTTCTTTGTCGCGCGCTGCTTGTAGTTCCGAAACAAACTACTGTGACCTTGGCACCGAGTTGTCGGGAGTCGTTGACGAGGGTACCACCGGATCTATCTCGTAATTCAGGTAGAACGGTGACTGCTTGGTCGTTGCAGATGGGGCGTTATTGTACGCAAACTCGAGCATGGGAAGGGAATCCTCCCACTTGGTGATGTCGGGGCAGTTTGTGCGAATCAGCTGCTCCATCGTCTGGTTTGTCCTCTCCGTCTGTCCGTCAGTTTGCGGGTGGTAGGACAACGAAAACTGCAGGCGGATACCGTACTGTGCCCATGTCTCCTGCCAGAACTTCGACGTGAATTTCGGATCTCGATCGCTGACGATCGCCGTAGGTAATCCGTGTAGGCACACGACGGTCGAGATGAAGAGTTTTGCTGTTTCTTCGGCTGTGATCGCCGTACGGCATGGTGCGAAATGCGCCATTATCGTTAAGCGATCAACGACGATGAGCACGGAGTCGTTGCCACTTGCGCCAGCTGGTAGGCCTGTGACGAAATGCATTGTCACTTGTTGCCACGGTCGTTCGGGTGGCTCGAGGGGCTGGAGTAATCCAGCTGGGCGTTGTCGTGATGATTTCATTGCCTGGCAGATCGGGCAGGCGGACACGTAGTGCTGCACGTCCGACGCCATGTCGGGCCAGTAATAATTCCGCTGCAGTAGCTTTAGCGTTTTGTCGACGCCGAAATGCCCGAAGAGGTTGGAGTCGTGTACTTCCTGCGTCAGTAATTCTCGTAAGGGTCGGTAGGAAGGTACCCAAACTCGGTTAGTACCGACTTTTAGGTAGTAACTCCCATGCGGTGTAGTGACCCCGTGGTGCTGATTGGTCCTGAAAAATCTGTCAATCTTGTAGCCGTGCTTGAATAATCCTGCCAATATAGGTTTAGAGTGGGCGATTAGTACTGCTGCGGTCTGCATCGATGGGCGGGTCAGGGTGTCGGCGATGTTGTTGGCGCCCTTTTTATATGTGATGGTGTAGCTGAAGTTGGACTCGAGGTAGTCGAGCCACCGGATTTGTCGTGGGTTGAGCTGTGGTTGGCTGCGCATGTACTGTAATGACTTGTGGTCAGTTCAGATGGTGACGTCAGCTCCCGTGAGGTAACAGCGCCAGGTACGAAACGCATGCACGATGGCGAGCATTTCTTTGTCGTGAACCGGGTAGTTGCGCTCGGGCGGCTGCATTTTTCTCGACTTGTATGCGATGGGTTGCAGCCCGTTGCCGAAGTCCTGTAGTAGCACAGCGCCTACGGCGAAATCGCTGGCGTCCGTCACGATTTCGAACGGTCGAGATGGATCTGCCAGCCGAAGCACCGGGGGTGAACTCAAAATTTTCTTCAGCTCGTCGAAAGCCGGCTGTTCTCTCTTCCCCCAACCAAAATGTACGCCCTTATGCAGAAGATCGGTTAACGGCCTGGTTACCCCCGCCATATTGGGTACAAAACGGCAGACGTAGTTAACGAAGCCGAGGAAACTCTGCAACTCGGTGATGTTTGCAGGCGGCTTCCACTCCGAGATCGCTTTTACTTTACGATGGTCAATTTTAATGCCCTCCCCTGAGACTACGTGCCCCAGGAACTCCAGCTCCGACCGTAAGAACTCGCACTTAGAGCCCTTCGTAATTAGCCGGTTCTGCTGCAAGCGTCAGAACACCTCTTCTAAGTCCTGTAAATGCTGCTCCCGAGTCTTGCTGTACACCAGGATGTCGTCCAGGTAAACAATGACCTTCTTGTCCAGCATGTCCCGAAACACCCCATTCATGGTGAGCTGGAAAGTCGAGGGTGCGTTCGTCAACCCGAACGGCATCACAGTGTACTCGTAACTGCCGTAGCGGGTGCGTAATGCAGTCTTCGGGCAGTCGTCGGCGAACACACGAATTTGGTGGTAGCCACCTCGCAAATCGATTTTCGAGAAGAAGAGAGCCCCGCGAAGCTGGTCCAGCAGGTCGTCCGCTCGTGGGATCGGGTAACGCGACTTGATCGTTGTCAGAATATATTTGCTGTCTAGCCTGCAGTGGGGTACTCTGTAATGAGTACAACCCTATTTAGGGCATTGTACTTGTATCCCAACTCTTGCTAGTGAAACCACTTCTCTTTCAAAAACCTCTCGACACTTGCCTCCTCACCCTCGAACTCGATCACCTAGGCACCTAAACTATGGCTTCTAAGCCTACCTTTGCTTAAGATTTTAAGATGGTATTAGAGCTTAACGCTCCTGGCCTGTGGGCCCACTCGATTCCGCTGCCCTATTGTGTGTCGTGCGCCCCGTGGCGCACGACCACCTTTTTTTCTTCCCGCCACGCGCTCGGGGCGCGTGGCGGTTTTCTGCCCGCCGTGCGCCCCGAAGCGCGCGGCGGGTACCTACCTCGTCGCGCCGTCTTGGGAGCCCGCGCGCTGGCCCCGACCGTCGCCTCGTCGCGGCGTTTTGGGGGCCCGCACGCAGGTCCCTCCCGTCGCCTCGTCGCGGCACTTTCGGGGCTTGCGAGCCGGCCCCTCCCGTTGCCTCGTCGCGGCGCCTTAGGGGCCTGCGCGCGGTCCCCTCTCGTCGCCCGTCGAGGCACTTTCGGGGACCTGCGCGGCTCCCTAGCACGTCACCCTTCAGGGCACAATGGGGGCCGCGCCCTTCCCCTCCCCTCCGTCCTACTTTCAGCAGCTGCAGCCCCTGAAACGGCCACTGCAGCAGCAGCAGCTCCAAGAGCAGCCGCCCCAGCAGCAGCCCCTGGAGCCGCCCCATCAGCAGCAGCCCCGGGAGCAGCCGCCCCAGCAGCTGCTGCCTCTGGAGCGGCCACCCCAGCAGCAGCAGCTTGTGGAGCAGCCGCCCCAGCAGCAGCAGCCCCTGGAGCCGCCCCAGCAGCAGCAGCCCCGGGAGCAGCCGCCCCAGCAGCAGCAGCTCCAGGAGCAGCCGCCCCAGCAGCAGCCCCTGGAGCCGCCCTAGCAGCAGCAGCCCCGGGAGCAGCCGCCCCAGCAGCTGCTGCCTCTGGAGCGGCCACCCCAGCAGCAGCAGCTTGTGGAGCAGCCGCCCCAGCAGCAGCAGCCCCTGGAGCCGCCCCAGCAGCAGCAGCCCCGGGAGCAGCCGCCCCAGCAGCAGCAGCCCCGGGAGCAGCCGCCCCAGCAGCAGCCACTGGAGCAGCCGCCCCAGCAGCAGCTGCCTCTGAAGCGGCCACCCCAGCAGCAGCAGCCCCTGGAGCTGCTGCTACTGCAGCAGCCACCCCAGCAGCAGCAGCACGTGGAGCAGCAGCAGCAGTAGCCGCCCCAGCAGCAGCCCCAGCAGCAGCAGCCACTGGAGCAGCCGCACCAGCAGCAGCCGCCCCTGGCCCCTGCAGCACCCGCTCATGGACCAGGTGCAGCTGTGTTGGGTGAGTGTGGGGGTGCTAGTTGTGGGGGTGTCGGTTGTGCGTGCCGTCCCCTCCTCCTCCTCCTCCTTCGTCTCCCACTGCTACAGCTCTCGCTGAGGGGGGTGGATGTGTGGGAGACTGGGGTTTAGGGTTTAAGGGGGGGTGGGTGGGAGTGGAGCTAGCGCTATAGCAGCGTGTGTGTGTCGGGGGGTAGGACTGTGTGCGGGAGGTTGAGCGGAGGTTGCCAGTTTGTCGTCCGCAGCACCTGTAGTCCGGGGCGTTGTCCCGGTAGCCCAGTGAGCTTGTCGCTTCGCCAGTCGCCTGTGGGTCCGTTGCCCGTCTGCCGCTACTTGAGCCGCGGGGCCTGTTACTCCTGTAGTCCGGGCGCTTAGTCCGGTAGCCACTGTGCTCGCCACTCCAATTGCCCGTGTGTCTGCAGCTTCAGCCGCCACCTTCTATCTCCTCTCCTCTCACTCTCCCTCCTCCTCCTCACTTGCCCGTT